GTTCAATAGGTTTATCAGTTGATGATTTTGTTGATGATCGAGAATTGATTGTTAAATATGCAATTGTCCGATACTTTTTTGGTAAATAATGATGAAATATATGTTCTTCAGCAAAATATAATGATTCATCAGCTGTTGCACCAATTAATATATCGACATTTGCAAGTGGCCCACTACGAATCAATTGTTCAATATTATCAGTTAATATATCATTATCAATCACTGGGAATCTAATTTTAAATATTAAAAAAAAAATCAATTATTACAAATTTAAAATTCTCTTACGGATAATTTGGTGATATTTCTAAACCTGAATGATACATATAACGAAATTCTTTGGCTGATAAGTTTTTAAATTGTTCAATATTCGATTGAATATATTTTTTCTTTGTTTTCATACCATTTCGTTTAATAACATTATCATATCGAACATTTGGATGTCGATCGATAGCCCTATAAAAATAAATAATTATAAAAACAAGTCAAGCATAACATTATATACCATTGATTTAATGGACCTCCACTTTGAGCTATAACTCGAGCTATTAAACCCTTCGATTGTGTTGACATTGCTAGTAGAACAGCATTAGCTGCACCAGCTGAATGTCCAACATATGTTATGCGTTTCAAATCACCATTAAAATTTTTCGCATTAATTGATATCCATTTTAATGCTAATAATTGATCATGTAAACCATAATTTCCTGACATTATATTTGTATCAGATGTTAAAAATCCTAATATATTTAAACGATAATTAATTGTTATAACAATAACATCACCAATAGCAGCTACAGCACTTCCATCAAATAATGAACCTGAACCTACTTGATTCGAACCACCATGACAAAATACCATAATTGCTTTTGGAGTTAAAGATTTTGTTTTTGGAATAAACATATTTAATGTTAAACAATCTTCATCATACATATCAGATAATTCAAAAGGACCATATGAAAGACCACCAGAAGCTTGTAGACATGCTGGTGTTCGTTTTATAGCATGTACAATTTTTTTATTATTATATTTTCGTAAGATAGGCATTTGAAAACGAATTGGTTTTTCACCATATGGGATGCCAAGATATTGTCGAATTGAAACATGGTGAGTTAAGATTTCCTTACCGTGAAATAAACCTGATGTAGTATTTATCAGTAATTCATTATTCAAATCATTTGAAAACCTTTTTATTTTGAATAATAAAAATTAAATCCAAAAAAAAAGAATGAGTAGAAAAACAAATAGTTTATTGTAAATTTATATTACTTTATATTGTTTAATGCTTGAATTTTCTCGAAGTGGAAGAAAAACAAGAAGATCAAAAATACCGAGGTTTGGACCATCGATAAGAGATAACGATTACGTAACCGTATCGCATTGATCTGAAGAAAATAGAGAAAAACGACCTACTTAATTGTCAAAAAGGTTTTGCTGATCTATGATAATTGTCGTTAATCGTTTGTTTTTCATCGACAATACTAAAAATATTCAGATTTTTTCATTTCTTATTATGTATACAAAACCTTTATGAACAGGTGAGTTTGTATTTTCTGTAGAATAATGTCAAAAGAGAAGTAACAATGATAGTAGTTCGATACTCAATCATATAATAAGAATCGATCGTTGTGTCTTCAATGTCTCATTGAGATTTCCTGATACGGAAACTACTCGAAAATCGAGCGACTGATCTTGTTCCTCGATGTTATGGTGAAGAGAAAAAAGAGAAGAAAGAAAAAAAGAACAAAAAAGAAAAAGGGAAAAAACATTGTTTCTTTGAAAATCTTATTTCTGATGTCATCACATTGACAATAACATTTATTGGCTTTGTCAGTGATCAAATAATAACAAAATAATATAAAAAACATACAGGATATTTTTTCTTTAAATGTAATAATGTTGCTTTTAGTTTCAGTATTCTTATGATCTCAATTACAATTTCTTTGTTTTGGCTTCTCTTTTTTTTTCTGTTTTACAGTACTAATATCTTTTTCGACCTCACTCAATATCGTATAATTAACCTTGAATTACCTAAGGTATACACGAAATTAGTATCCTCGTTTTTTTTTTCTGCTTAATCAAGATCGACAAATAACACGACTGTGTCGTCTTTGATGTATATATTGTTTATATTTATTATTCCTTCGTTTTTTCTTCTTTTCTTTGGTAATTTTTTTTTCTTTTGCGCAATCATCAGTTAAGTTGGGCGGCACAAAATACGATACCTTCATGCATACATGTATGTATGTGTGTACCATAGTGATTAATATGTACACGAGGGAGAAAGAAAAAACCAAGCAAAAGAATAGGGAATTCAGTTGTGATTGTGACCTTTTTTTCCATTCAATCAATAATGATCAAGATGATATATAAAAGAAAAGAAAACTAGCCAAAGAAAATAAACGAATAAAGAAAGAAGAAAAATAGACTGCAAAAAATATTCTATTTTAATATGATTTCAAATATTATGAATTGATCAATTTAATCAATCGCAGCTTTCTGATCAAGAGAACTGATAAACAGATATGAAGAAACAGATATCTATAGTTTATCTTTTCCAAGTCAAAGTGCTATAGTCGAGTTTTATAGGTCCATACAAATGACAATCAAACTTGGAACAAAGTATCTTGAAAATGTGTGTACAAGAAAACGAATTTCGCTTGTCGATTATACTTTTTGTATATCAATCGAATGATATGAAAGTATTGTTTTACATTTAGAAAAACAATCTATGTGAAATGAATTATTAAGCATAAGATTTTTTTTTTCTATAATTATCATCATAATGATAAATTGCATTTTTGTGCAACACTTAACATATTGTGAAAGTCTTCGAATGTTTATGTAAACTTAGAGTAATAATATTATTATTGATTTCAAAATCTAATCTTTCGGTTATTTTAAAATATCAAATTTAAAGGATAATATTGGGATATTCAATAACGTAAGGATATCTGATTATAAAAAGCTTTTTAATGAAATAGAAAATTTTGAATATAAATGTCAATTTTTTAATTTTTAAGGTTTCTATTGCATACTATATAAAAACTAAAAAAAAATCAAACGATACCTTAAAAATTTCATATGCATATAAGATTGATTCGTAGTAGAGAATAAAGAACAAGTTTTTTAATTATACTAAAATCTTTTATTTTAAATCTGATATCTTGATTAATACAAGTTATATATAATTATAAGATTATTTCTATGTTCTATACTTTAAAAGAGTCTGTTCAGCGGCGGATTTATATTACTTAGATTAATACCATGTGTTCCGTTGCATGTCATTGACTGTCTGTAAAGGTTATTATTTTCTGATCAATGGAAATTATTTCAGACGCAAAAAAACAGTTATTACCATTAAAAAAGTTTATGGAATGAATACATTTTAGAATTTAACTTCCTATGACCTTGCAATAGATTGTTAATTTTTTTTGTTTCTGTTTTTTTTGAACATTATACATAAACAGTCGGAGTGCCATTATTGTTATTGTTCTTTTTCTTCTTTTCATGTCTCATTGTTAATGTTAGTTATGGCAAATATATATAACACAACATATATAAATAAAGGCAATCTGGACAAGGATTACCGATTAGACAACATCCTTCGTATGAAATAGATTGATGACGTGATCAGATTAATGAATAAGCATTTGTAGTAGAAAAAAAAAAGAGCGAGCTCTTTTACAGAAAATCTTGAGAATAAACTCAGACATAAAATGACTTCTCATTTATTAGCGACATAACCAAGGTTGGACTAGGCTACGCACTATCTTTTTACTAATCGTTTTCGTTCGACTATTAGCAGTAAGAACAGCGTAATAATTATCATAATCGTTACTATATTTCATGGATTTTTTCCAAGATCATAGAATACTATTCACCATCTCCTGATTACGATACTACTATCTATCTGATGTTTCTTTTTTCCCAGACATTATTCAATTGAAACAATAGAAGCTATAACAATCAAATCATAATATATCAAACGAACGTATAGAATAATTTATTTTATCATGTACCATCTTTTTTTCTCAATCTTTTGATCTTGTGCACAAACGTTAACTTCAATAACACTTTTGACAAGTATAAATGAATAAAACTTTGCCAATAGTCTTCTCCAATAAGAATCTATTTGAATAAGCACTATAATATATTAGAGTTTAATGTCCGCACCAGAATTAAAAAGAGGTGAGTGTAAGCTCATTAACTCGACAATAATAACAATTAGCAACCTGTAGTTTTCAAAAATCTAAAGATTAGAACTTCGGACATCTTTTTATTTGATATTATTTAAGTCAAAATTATATTAAAATCCATCATCTTTTCAAAATATTCAAAAAAATGCATGAAAATAATATTCAATTTCAAGGAAAATTCGATACAATCGAATAGATATACGACTTTGTTTGCTCAACATTGACATATGAGAAATTAATTACGTGCATCCTACATTGAACTATAGATCTAAAGTACATATCATAATAAAAATTAAATCGAAACAGAACACTATTTTCACATATTTTGTTTTTTGAATGTTTTGCAGAAATGATGGGTTTTAAAATAGTTCTATCTTTTATAGTATCAGATAAAGCGACGTTTGGAGTTCTTCTCTTTCGATTGATGAAAACCGCATATTGCTAGCTATTACAATTGTCGAGTTATTGAGTCTACACCCACTCTTCTTTAGTTCTAGGGCGAACATTAGTATATGCTACACTAGTAAGAGACATGATATATAATTTTTGTTTTCTTTATTCTTTTTATTGTAAGATTCAACATATTCCAAACTGAAATTTATATTTGATTCTTAACGTTATACTAATCTTATCTGTTCATGAGAATGAAATATATATTCTCAAACTGTTGACAAACACATTGTGTTTTTTCGTCAAACAATAATCATTGATATCTCAGAACAGATTAGAGAATTAATTTACAACGACAAGAAAACAAAACAAATTCGTTTGTAAAAAGTGAATTTAATTACATCATTGTCAATTTTAAGATACTTGAGCATTTTTATCTATATAGAAATTATCAATCCATGTATCTAATTCATTTAAGTCATAAGCATATGTTGTTGCTCCTGGTTCAGCCTTAAGTATTAATTTTCCATTATGAATAACATAAAAACGAAATGGCCATGAACCATAAGTTGTATGAAATGTATTATTCATACTATCAACTAACATAGGCATTTCAAAATTGAATCTCTTCTTGAATTGACGTGCATTTTCTAAACGTTCTTCTAATGTTTTTGGTTGATCAACACATGATATGGTTTTTCCAGCTGGCCATTGATCACGTGCATGCGCCTCAGCAATATAAATTGTCAATAGACGCATAGCTGGCGCATGCGAGCGAAATAATTTACTAAATGAATATTAACTTGAAATGAAAATCTATAAAAATAATAAATAACTTACTTTAATCGCTCGACATACGCCAGAAATGGAGGTCAGGTTGTTGAACCAGCGAAGAGTATTAATGGTTGTTCAGGTGTTATTTGTGAAAAAAGTGTAGTTGGTTCACCATCCAATGTAAAAAGTTTAACATCTACTACACATTGTCCTTGATTGACAAGACCTTGAGTGATTTTATTATGTTTAACTAAAGAAAAATAGAAACAAAAAAAGTTACAATGATAATTAAATTGTGTTATTTTACTTACCATAAAATGCTTCTTTAATAACTGGATCATCTGGAAAACGTGATATGGCTGTTCGTAATGCATTAACATGTCTATATCCAAAATGTTCCACGACATGTTGTTGAATTAAGTCGAGCACCATTCTATTTAGTTTTAATAAACAAAATTCAATTTTCTGAATTGAAAATAATAATAAAAAGTCAACTTACGTTATAGCATTATCATCTTTATGATATAAATCGAAAACTTGTTGAATAGGGTCTGACAAACGTAAAAATGTTTCATATTCGATCATTTTACGAACTGTTTCCAATGATGGTAAGTCATCGCTTAATATTTGTTGCTTTTCTGATGCACAGGAAAATATATCATCAGGATACAACCTATTATTAACGTCCGGTGGTTTGTCTGTTGCATCCGTCATTTGTAAAGGAGTGCAATAAGAAATAAAAGTGAATGTAAGGTAAGAAAAAAAATCTACATCACAATATTACTATTGTGTTGTGCAATATCTTTGCAAAAAAAAACAAACTCAAGTACACACATGAAGACGAGTGAAAAATGAAATGGTGTGACCAGTTGAGTAATCATTATGATTCACAAAAATGATATTTAGAAGCTTCTTTGATTATTGCACAATAAAATATATACATACAAAGATTCCTATGAAGTGGATGTCGTGAAAATAAAATTACAGTTCAAAAGAACATAAAACTAAATCAAATTCATTTCGATTTATTCCAAACTTCATTCAAACCTTTTCTTTTCTCAAGATTATACTCTATTTATTTTTATGAACAAAATCATATGCATATATTGAAATTCTAGACTATGTCGCTAGTACTTTGTAATTTGAATCATGTTAAAGCGTCTTGTGTTGATTTTGTTTTTCTTTGATTTAACCTACAGAATATAATTATATGCTTAATATTGACACGAAATAATGACCTTGTGAAACATCATAAAGTTCCTTGAAAGTCAAAAACAAAGGTAATCCAGCAGCATGATTTCTTAAATTTATCTATTGAAATGTATGTCTCCCTTTTTTTTTAAATGACAGGAAGCATCGCTGCACAGATTTTTTTCATAGTAAAAAGTAATCAGTGTAGAAAATACACGAGAGAAAAACTATTCCAACATTCTGATTGATTCCGGTTCATTCCGACCTCATTACTAAACATTTGCGCCTTCTTCTCTGTCTTCAGTCATTCTCACGCATTCGGATGTGCTCTAGAATTGTAACCGGTAATGATTAACGACCGGTTTCGTTCAATAAATGATTTTTTTACGAATCGACCTAGATATTGTTTATTGATTTTTTACACGATTTTCTTTGTCAAAAAGTTGATTCTTAATGTGTTTTTCTTTACCGAAATCAAAAAGATTTTATTCATTTCATATCAAATTATTTGATCAAAATAGAATCAAATAATTATTTATGACTGTAATTTATCATGAATTTATTTGCTTTTCTTGTTATTTATAGCATATATTTCATACACATATAAGAGATAACAAAGGGAATAAAATCTGAGAAATAGATAAAATATACAATTAGTTAACAATGATCGTATCTGACAAACATTTTATTAAAATACAAAGATAATATTGAATTTGTATTCGAATGAATTTTTCTCTTTATCAATTGATGTCAAGAGAGAAAAAACTACCGTAATAATACAACAGTGTTCTTACATCATTACTGTGTAATGATCAGGAAACAGTTGCGGCTAATTGAAAAGTTAATTTCATGGTTATATGAAGAAAAATAACTCAGGATGGTCTACCGATTGATTCGATCTGTTTTAATCATTGAGGTTCGTACGAGTACTGACAAAGAAAAAAAAATCCTACCAATTGCAACTCTAATATATTTTCAGTTTTTTCAAGTCATCTCGCGGTTATATTGAAATTAGACTTAGTTCTAATGAACTAGATAAACTTTGAAATAAGCTACTGCACATTTCATAAAGTAGTAAGTTCTATTAGATGGAGAATCGTATCATAGACAATTATAAATATATTAGAGATTAATACAAGTGAGAAATACATCACTTGAAGATCGAACCAGTATATTGACCGTAAATTTTATTTGGTAATATAATATTCCAAAATATAATATAGACGATTTTTTGTTTTTTAAGAATGTTTTTAAATAAATGAAATTCTCTATCTAAAACTATCAAAATATTTCAAACTGGATGAACAAAAAAGTGTGATTCAGTATCTTCATGTATTATCTATAGTTTTGCTGTCGTGATAAATTTAAAAAAGAAACACAATTTATACAGAAAACAAAATAACTAACGCTTACAGACCTTACAGAAAAGTCCTTGTAATGAATACAAATAAAATAACCCATAGTTATCATTGTAACATAAACAATACCTTGAAAAAACCACAAAATTAGTACGTTTTCTTCTTATTTTTACCCAATAAATAAATAACTAAAGTCTTAAGTATCATCTATGCATTTGTTTGAAAACGTACCATATTACCAAATTTTAACGGACTCAGTTAAATACCAGATAGTGTTTACTTTTGAATGCATTTTTCTAGTGGATTAATAGTCATTTTTTGTAAAAACATTTTTTTTTGTTTTAATCAATTACGAAGAGTAAATTCGCATTCTGTTAAAAACATGCATTGTTTATTGTTGCTGATAAATACATCGCAATAATTGCTACTTTTACCTACTCTATTATCAGAATTTCATGTAAAATAATTAATAATATATATATATAGATCATATTGTCCTAAAGCATTCAGTATTTTATTGACATTTTCTCTTCTCGAGGGGCGAATATCTATTTTTGAGAGTACAGACACATAACATGTGGTATCATTAACATAAATTCCTAAAGGGATAATACGGCCTTCTGCCCACACACTGAATAAAGCAGCATAAATACTTACAGATAAACCATTTAATTAAAATATCTTGCTCTTTTTCAAAAGTAATCTATAAATTTTGTAAATAATTTTTTTTTTTTCAAGTTCCTTTAGTTCAATATTGATGAAAACGAAGTATACTTTAATTTAACATTATGCTTTTAAAAGTATTACATTTCATTTAATATTAAAACTTTCCCTACGCAAATTGTTTTATTATGAAAAATATTTTCAAATATCTATAAAATAAATATATTTAAACATTCAATAAATAATCAGTTGTTTTGCACTAATAATAAAATCTCTCAGGACATCGTTAAACACAGCTACGAACCTCATATTCATATTACAACAATTTATAGATGAATTCTAACGATGAAATACAACTAGACAGTTCAAGCTACAACCAACAAAAACTGAACTTACATATTTCAACCCTCATCGAAAAAAAAGAAATACAAATATTCGATCGAAATAAAAGTTGAATTCACAACTGTAACACTACAAGATTCAAGTAGATGTTATAATTCAATTTTTGATCTGAAATTGCATTAACGATGTCATATAAGACACATCGAATCAAAGATCGCTGCCAGAATTAATTAACCTAATATATTTTCTTTCAAAACTATAACCTGACTTCGACAAAAAAATCATGTTAAATACCTATAAAGCAAACATAAGAACTATTTCCGTATACGGATATCCAGTTCTACTCAGAGAAAATGATAAACCCTTAAAACTCTTACAGACTATGTAAAACAACGCATTTCAAGCAGCTTTAGATCTACCTTCGTACACGTCTGTGAAATACATTCATCGACTCAGTAATATCTCCGAAATAAAGCAATATTCAATAAAATTTCTAAAATAAGTTAACAAAAGTGCTCATTCAAAAAACGACAAATTATATGAAACTAATCTTTTACTGAATTTTTTATCCACCTTTAGATATTTACCGAAAAATCAAATAGTAGAATTTCAAGCTGAAATTTCGCCCCATAAACAGGGTCTAATTAGATTTACTTTACTTGTCCATTAAATAAATGGTTGGACTAATAATAGCCTATGAAAATGAAAGAAATACCATGCGAATAATAACAAAATAAATAAAAAAACTGCCTGCCCAAAGAAAATGGAAAACAAAATTTTAGAGATTTTAAACTTTGCGTATATTGTATTAATTTAATGAAACAAAAAAAAAGACATGAATTCGACATTTTAGCTCCGAATGGACTGCGCTTACAAGATTTTTCTTTGTAAACACTGTATTTATAAACCTACATATGTTGTTATATGAAAGAAATTCTGTTTAAGAAAAAGAAAAAATTTCGAAAGGCGATGACATTTTTTTTTCACTTAATTCATTTATAGAGTAGAACCTAGAATACATCACCTTAACATCATTGAGCAAAATATATTTCCGAATTAAACTTTAAAAGAAACAACAACAAAAATAAGAAAAATAAAACATCATCACAGAATGCTACAGATGGTACAACTGGCAATACTATTATCAACATTTGGTTGTTGATGATAATTTGACATTGGACCAAGACGATGTTCCAAATGAACTGAACTACGTATTTGAAATGGTTGATTTAAAGATGTACCAACAGTTGGACCAACATTAGCAGCTGTTAGAACCGGTTCAATAGGTCTCACATGATGATCACTACCATCGATTTCATTATCATCATAATCATAATCCTCTTCACTCATACTACTATTAGAACTTTCATTTGAATGAAGTGAATCGACATTTTGACGACGATTATTTCGTGCTTGTTTTGCTTGTCGAGCCGTTGTTAATGCAGCTAAAGCTGATGATGGATGATTTGCACCACGCTGATCAATTGATGAGGAATGTACTAATCGATGAAATGTACTTGGAGATGATGATGTTGTATGACGTGCAACAACCGATGCTATCTCATTGTATCGTGCTTGTAAATCAATTGCTTTACCACTACCACCATGTCCACCGGCACCTACACACACATTATCATCAGTTATTAATAAAATCTATGCATTGTCGATGTCGAAATACAAGACAGGTCAATGTTTTTTGAATAAATCTCGATAGAAACATCAGAGAGATCTGCAGTTTTCACCTTTCAAGAAAGAAGACTCGGTGTCATTGATGTTCAATTGATCAGTAATTGACCAATCAGATGCGTTCTTGGTGGGAATTTTTGAAAACAATATTCTGAAGCCATTTTGCTTTCGATCCGCACAAGATTTACATTCCTAGCTCATTCCGTTAGAGAGTTATAAGGCTTTTCCTGAGACTCCCGATTTCAGCCTATCGACTTGTGATCATCCGCAAAAGCAGCTAGACAGGGATACTTCACTATGCTGTGTCAAATATTGATGTTTATTTTTAGGTTGCAACTGACCTGACACTTTTATGTGAATATTTCCGAAATATCGACTCGTTCGTTACATATGACGACTGATTGTAGAATTTCAGAAATCTTGAGATAACAGTGTCTAATCAGTAAGAATCTTAAAAAAATATCACTATTCTAC